AGCAGGAGGACAAATGCAGCCACAACTCTCGGAGTATATTTTAAATTCTTGCTCCATGCTAATTGTGCTGGGCCCAAATTAGTCCTGAAGAGACAGTGAAATCATGTGAGGACTTAAAATCTGTCAGGCCCCTGCCAGATGCCTGGCAAGGCCTCCATGATGTTTAACAAACCAGAATTTCCAGCGTCAGTTTCTGGAATACCAAACACTTAGCTGTGTCTGTATCATAGAAATGCACTTTTGGAGACTGAAAGGCTGCATCTGCCACTGTTTACCAGAAACTTCCCTGGCAGGCTCTTCCCAACCTAACATGTCAGGGTTACATAGAGCCCATCCTTGCACCTATGGATGTTTTGTGGTCCTTAATGTACACATCCAGCTTCATTTTGGTTGTGGTGGTTGTTTCATGTGCTTGTTAACAAAACCTAAATTCCCCACTTCTTTTCTCCCACTTCATAAACACTTGCCAGGCATCAACTTCATCTGAAGATCACATAACATTTGCTTTGTCCCTGCATTAGTTGCCTTCTAATCTTTTAAGGTTAGAGCATGCATTTCACACTTCCAGTTAGTGTTTCTAAGATACATACCCCAGTCTGGATGCATTTTTTTATTACATGAATATGGATCTGGTCTAAGGCTAAGTAGTGGAAAAAATTATGTCTGTATTGTCTCTGTGACTATAGAAAATACCTCATAAACAGTTTGTTCTGGTTTCTTGATGGTACTTTTGTTCCTTTTGATTATTTCCTCTCTTTGTCTTGTGTCTGTTTGATGTGGTACATCCTGAAAGTTTCTGCATGCTAAAGACAGTAGTAAATGTTGTAGTTAGTACTTAGCTTTTTCAAAGTATTTTATAAATAGATGTCACTGAATGCAGTGCTGAAAGAAGATTTTTCTTGCAGGATTGTGTGAGTTGTACATTGTAGAAGGAGCCATTTTAGCGAAACCTCTTTTAAGAGTAGACAGAATGAGTACAAGAATTGGTGAAGGAAAGCTTCTGAGTTTGTAATGCAGTGGTTTAATAACAATATTTACACAGTTATAAATAAATTATAATTGAGGTGTATTTCCAGAGTCAGTAAATTCCAGGTATACTGATAAGAAGTTCAAGTGAAAATGTGTCAGTCCAACATTTGAGAAGTAGTTCTATAAGGAAAGAATGGTAATCATTACTAATCTAAAACTTTTGATTTATCTAGAGTTTTGAGCCCAGATTATATTGGGATAGGGCAGTACTTACAAAAGTACTCTTTTTGATCAAGATGAGTATGCTGGGCTATGTGTGCTCATAGAGATCCAGTCTTAAAGAAAACAATTACTTCAAGGCTGTTCACGGTTGAAGTGGTTTAGTGTAGAATAGAAGTCAAGACATTAAAAACCTGTAAGAAAGTGCAAGGATTGATAAACTGAAACTGCAGTTCCCCCAGTGAAGGGATGTGAGAAAAAGATTTTAAAACTTGTTCTCTGCACAGGCAGCTATAAAAAAAAACTTTAAGGGAAAAAAAGCCTTAGACTAAACCAACCTGTAAATTTAGCCAACTGGACAACTAACTCGTCTTGTTACTGGACAACAACTAATACTTGTTAAGTTACATGTTAATATAGTTGGAATTTTATTCACTGGGTCTGTTACAGGCCAGGCTGTGCTAAAGTGTGCAACATCCAGCCAAAACCACCAAACTAGCTTCTGTCTTAATGTTCAGAAAACTCCTTTTGGATATTGAATCAATTTGATTAAACTAGCCATTAGAATTATTGTCTTTTTGTATACAACAGTCTGCATATCTGGTTTGTAGAAGTTTTTTATTGCATAATTAGTGGTAGTTCTCAAAGCATCTTGAACTGGCCACTCCATGGATATAACAGCTGTTTTAAACACATTTCCCTTTCACTGCAGAGGATCCTTTTGTGGAAACAGGAGGATGCCTTAACTAGATGTATTTAGTGTTGAAAATAATTTAAAGGTGTTTAAGTGTTTTCTAAGACACTGTGGAGTCATGAAGATTCATTCAAGAGGCCTGAGGAAACTGTTGATTTTATGACTATGGTATAAATTAAGAATATTCCCTTGATGTGGTGATTGATAAATAAGCAAATGCTAAAAGTGAACTTTATTTCCTCTTGGTTTTTTTCCCTCAGACATTCTTTATGAGTTCACAGTTGGATTTTGTGCAGTTGATGCCTTTTTCAGAAAGGAGTGCCTAGATTTCTTCCTAGAAAATTTGGGTTTAGGTCCATTCAGATTTTGGAAAGATCTTTTTATATTTCTGTGTATCTGTGAAACTTTAAATCTATTGCTATTTGTCAGTGTATAAATAATAAAAGGTTAGTTATGAACCAGACTAGGTGGTAATAATTTGTAGAAACCCTAAGTGCTGAAATAATTCCATGACCTTCACAGAGTTGTTTATGGGATAGGATCCAGATGATGTAGAGATCAGCTCTAGTTAACTAAAGCAGAGGAAAAAAACGTTTTTACAGTCTATGTGCAATATTTTTCACAGGTAGTAAAGAAAAGTTAAAAGCCAGTATCTGATTGGGTTCGGTTTGATGGTATTTAAACTGGTCTAAGCTGGGGCTACTAGAGTCCTGAATGGTTTTGCATCCTTTTTTCTACATCTCATCCTGAAACCAGGGGGTTGAACCATTAGGAAGTTAATCACTTTTCTAACAGGATTATTTTTCCTGCTGATTTAACTCCCTGAACTGGCTTGTTACAGGATGAGCTTATCTAAAAATGCGTATCTAGTGGCAGGATAATGGCAGTGAGCACCCAAGAATTACTCATGCACAGGTTTGGATATTGGCTATTGTGCAGGCAGTACAACGAGAAATACGTGATCAGAAGCTATATGGCCTTGAACTGTGATAACAGCAGCTGTAAGCACAAAAAGTAGTTAACATAAAGTTCTCAAAACTAAGATCACGTCTTCCTGGCTGTACTTGAGTTGGGTTAAAAGTCAAGCTCTTGCTTCCATTTTGTTGTGTGCTTGCAGTAGCTGTTAGTCCTCACAAGGGGTGTTTGCTCACACACCCAGAAAATCCTAGGTATTGATTCCTCCAGGATATTAGAATGATTATTTGTGAAGATGCAGTGAGGTCTTATTTTTGCTTAGGTAGAACCAGGACACTGATTTGCCTGAAGTGCAGTGTGTCCCTGAGATGTGGATGGCTTTTATCAGTGCTGGAGGTGGAGAGGGAGTTCTCACTGCCTCTAAGAAGCTGAGCGTTTTCTTCTGTGTGACCTAAGGTACAAGCAAGTGCAGGCAGTCCAGTTTAAAACTGATCATCATAGGGTTATTTTCAATTCTCTAGGGTGCCTATAATTGGTCTTTTATAGCTGAATAGAGAGCTTTACCTGCTGCTGGTAAACATTTGCCAGCTTAGAAAATTGGTCCATTTTATTTTCCAGTAAAATTATTCTTCTTGCACAGATTGATTCGTGTATCAAACATAAAAAATTAATTTAGGATTGTAATGGTTGTGAATCTTATCCCCATCTGGTTTTCCTGACCTGTTTCTGCCTTTCTGAGTTTATGACCCTGTATCTGCATAGGTGAAATCAAATTCCTGGAAGTCTTAACTCAGCTGCCACTGCAGTGAAATGCTAGGTTTTTTGTCACGTGGAAAGAGTTGAGGAAACAACTACTGCTGTAATAGTTGAAAGGTGCCTCAGTGGCCCATTCTACTTTATCTTGTTTAAAAGTCAGTACTTATAGTGCAGGATCTTGTGTTTTTGTAGGGTGGGGTCCTTTTTATTGTAGCAGACATTAATGGCACATCTGCCAGGCATTTCTGTCTGAATGTATCCAGAATAATTTATCTGAGACAAGCAGATTTCACTGGGATGGTTCTAGTAAGATGCAGTGCTTCCCACTGATGTATTTGAGTTAGTGCTTTATTGATAAACAGCATTTCAGCTTTGGGTCACCTGTAGGGGTAGCTTATAGAAATAAACTTCAGAAATTTCAGCTTCAGCGCTGTTTCTGGAAGCTGAATTATGTTTATGCATGTCATTTAGGAAGAAATAAAACCACTAGTTCATTTTATACTGTTTTACATCTTCAGCCTGTATCAGTTAACTACAGCCTGGTACTACAAAATCAAAATTTTGAGGGACTTGGGGAATGTGAAACTATTCATATGGCAGTTTTTAAATTTACTACTTTAGAGCTGACAGCTTTGAGCTACTTAGATTTTTTAATCAAATTAATTTTATAATAGTTTGCTGTGGGATTTGATATTTGACTTCCAAGCTATGCTGCTTTGCATTAATTAGTGTTAAAAATTGCTTGAGAAGTGAATCAAGAGGAATAATAATCTTTAAACTCCTATAAAGCCCAGCCTACTGATTCTTTGCTTTTCCCTTTATTGAATATCTGTCACTACATGTCCGTTTAACAGTTCTGCAGCATTTTTGATCCTTTTTCCATTTTATAAGTAGCTTTATTAAAAAATACCTTTAAAGGCGTATGCTTTGAATTATATCCTCCTAATAGGACTGACAAAAAACTGGTAACACTGAAAAATATTCAGAACTAGTGTAGTTAGCTTCTGCTTCTCGTTCTGGAGTGGTGATGGCACCTTTGAGAGAGGAGTGCTGCTTCTCTCTGTGCTGTTTGTGTTTTTCAGCTTCAGAAGGGTGTTCTGGGATGGCCCTGGTGGGGCAGGGAGGTTGGACCAAGTGACCCACTGTGATCCCTCCCATCCTGTGATTCTGGGATCTAGACTTGATACTAAGAATTAAAATCAGTTCCCTGAAATAATCTTCCAGCAAATGCCAGTGTTTGGGTTTTTTTTCAGAATTTCCTGCACAGTGAATCAGTCCCACTGCAGTATACATTACAGATGAATATCCTAACAGTAATTATATAGTTAAATTGGAAAATTTCACCAGCAAGGTCTTAGAGTAATGATTTAAGTGTTACTAATGTTTCATCTCACAAAGGCAAGAATTTATTTGGTGTGGTTTTTGTATTGCTATTATCTGCCTAAAAATGAGTCAGGTTTGGAAAGTAAATAAGTTGCTTCCAGGTCAGAACAATATTTCAGGCTTAATAATAAACTTGGGATCATTTAGGGCTGTACCAAGCATATATTTTGAGGGTGTCTGTATGTGATCTTGACACTGTAATTTTTTTATTCTAGTTTGATTTAACAATGGAATCTAGGAAAACAATCTAGGAAAAAAACCCCTGAAAATCATAAAGCAGGTTATTTCCAAAAGTGTTTGAAAGAACTCTTAAACCTGTATTATACTGTTAACTATGTTAACAAGTTTGCATTCAATTTGGTAAAGCTTTTAGCCTCAAAAAAAGCTTTGAAATAATCTTCAATAGGAATGCCTTAATGTTTAAAAGAAAAAGGTGGTTTCAGTGCCAAAACTGCAGGAAGGCATCAGTAGGATTGAGAGATCAGAAAGTGAACAAAGAAATTGTGCTTGGGCAGTGTGTATCTGTTTCTGCTAAACAATCATCTCCTAGCTTTCTTTTTAAACATGTGATACCAAATACCTGCTGTTCTCCATGTGCAGAATGACTCCTGCAGTAACCTGGATTTGTTTACCTGAGCTCTGTAATAGAAATACTGGGCTGAGTTTACTTTTTTCATCGTTAAGTTGCAGGTTGGTAAAAATGTTTCACAGTGCAGTAAATATTCTGGCAAACTCAAATTTGTTTTCATGTTTTAGAGACATTGAATTGGTTTAGTCTAATATCTTGATGTCCATAACATGTAGAACTTGTGCGAAGTGTGCTTTATATTCCTGGGACAATTTGTTTTCCAGCTGAATTCCAGTTTAGAAACTCCATCTTAAAAGCTGAGCTCTGAAATATTACACTGTCAGAAATGTTATCTTTAGCTTGACTGTGTAGGTGGGAGAGAACTTTTCAAACACTGCTTGTGATCTCTTATGTCTTCTTTTTAATTTTTCTAGACTGCGGAATATGTCCCAGAAAAAGTGAAGAAAGCTGAAAAGAAACTAGAAGAAAACCCATATGACCTTGACGCTTGGAGCATTCTCATTCGAGAGGCACAGGTTTAGTGATATAGGATTACATTTCCTTATCTATGGTCCACTCACACTCTTTGGTTCTGGAGTAAAATCAACATATTCATTTACATAAATCATAATATTGTAAATGCTGTTTTGATTTTCAATTTTTAGAATCAGCCTATAGACAAAGCACGGAAGACCTATGAACGCCTTGTTGCCCAGTTCCCCAGTTCTGGCAGATTCTGGAAACTGTACATTGAAGCAGAGGTTAATATTTTTACATTTTTTCTTATATAAAATTTCATAGGATTTTAAATTTATATTTTTATAAGCATGAGTAAGATAGGCACATAATATCTAGGGGAAAGGGGATTTTAAATATGCCTTGCCTTTATTTTGTAAAATAGGTATGAAGGAATGATTAAAATGAATTCTAAAATATTGGGTCTTTTATGAGTTGATGATTGTTGCATTATGGAATTGCAACAACATTAAAACTGTTTCAATGGTATTGGAGTGCTTTAGCCTTTTATTTGCTTGTCGTGTCAATTTATTGCCTCCCGTGTCATTTACTTAGAGGACTTTTTTTTTATTTACACATACAAACTTATTTGAGTGACTTTCTCTGAATATTTGGTTCTTTTATTTATTTTTTATTTTTTTGCTTTCTTAGGAAATTGTGTTTTCTGTGAACAGTGTTTGCAGGGAGGGTGTGGGGATGGAAGCTAATTTCTGGAATGAAAATGCATTAGCCCAACTCATTAGCTTTTAAAAATCCCAACAAATTGTGATTGTTTCCATAACTGGGTAAAGACTTGCCACTAAGTGCATTGATCAGTTGAACTGTCTCTGATGACATGCCATGAAATTCCCTGTATAATCATGGGGTGGGGTGGTGGTGTTCATTTTGGTTTGATTCCTTTCTGTAGCTGTTATTGAATACTAAAACACATGTTTTCTGTGGGCATCTTCCAGCTGCACATTTTCCTTGAGACAGATTTTATGTATATGTTAAAATTGGGGGGTGGGGACCTGTATTCTGTAGATGAGAAATGAACTCTTTCTTCCATTCGATGTGAAATTTCATTGCATAGTTATTATATCTTATTTTACATTAAATTACGTATCCAGAAATGTCTGGCAGTAAATTTTGAAGATAAGGAAAGTTGGGATCATGGGAATCTAACAGAAATTTTTGTATTGCAGTTCGTAGTAAGATGCTACAGTGCAAAATAGTCTCATCTAAATTGAATGCTACCAAATTAAATATATAGAGTTTTCACTATCTTGTTTCCAGCAGTTTGTAGCAGTAGTAAGAATGTTGGTGGTTATACACGTTTGGGAGATTGCAGATGGACTAACATACAAATACATATTTTTCCTTTTTGGACCCTGCAGCCAAATCCATTAGCCTCTTGTACCCTGAAATGTTTGCTACAGGTTCTAGTATTCAGAATCTAATCTAATTTCATAATTGCATTGAATTACCTGATTTCTGTGCTTTTTGAAAACATTTCTCTTTCCCTTGCCTCAAATTTAAGGGTTAGGTAAGGCCATCTCAGAAAGCCAGCACTATACTGTACATCCTATAGCAGAAAGTCCTGTTACCAGTGTAAAGCTTCCTTTCTTAAACCACCTTCAGAGATGAACTGACTGACATCACCTCCCCTAATTTATAATCTAAGAATATTTAGAAACATTAACAGTGGCAAAGCTTGTAACAGTCTGGGGTAGAATTTTTTCCCTGTTCTTCAAGAAGGGCAGATCAGTACCTCAGCATTTATGTTTACCAGGAGAACACGAGGTAAATCAGAGAGGGAAAGAATTGTCATAACCATCACCATTTCTTGTGTGTCTGCTTATTAATACACTTCAAATATTAGAGAAATGGAATATATAGTTCTGTTATTCAAAACAATGGAAAACTAGGAACTGTAAATTTCTGGTAGGGGTTACACCTGAAGAGGGTTATGTTTCAAAGAAATGTAAGAGGGTAATTTTCAGAAGTTTATCTTTTATCTCAACAGCCAAATTTTAAAATTCCCAGTTATGACTTAATTTTCAGCTTTCCTGGTTTCAGTAGCATACTACAACTGATAAAGTGGCCAATTTACAAATGAAGAAATACACTTTGCTCTGTTTTTTTTTAAAAGCATGTGTGAGCATATATAGCTATAAGTTGAAATAACTTATTTCCAAATTTCTCTTTAAAAACAATGCACTCACACAATTGGGTGCTGTTGTTGGTGTTAATTTCAGTTGCATATCATTTGTACAATCTATCTGGGTGAATTAAAATGCTTTATCAAATGTTCTTTTTACACTGTGGTTAAATTAATTTTTGAAGGCTGTCTAAGCAGTGGAATTCTGTTCAGGCTTCTTTTATTGCAGCCTTAAGATGTACAGGGAGTATAAGTATTTTCCAAAAGCGTTTTTCCATGGCAATTTTAGTAGTCTTCCTCCTGCTAGAAAGCTTTTCTTGGGCTGTTCAGAAGTACAGAACTTTCTAGCCATGACTTAGTAAAATAAACCTGTGGTAGATTTCCAGCACTGCTTTTTATTTTGCTGCCTTGTTATTGAAATCTGAAAATTGCAGAATCTTCAGTTGTCTGTTTCCTGTATTTCCTCTGATATCAAAACATGTATTTTACTCTTTAACATGAAAAAGTTTCCTCTGAATCCCAGAAAGACAGGAAGGGGGAGGGAAGTGGGGGTTCTTTTCTGGAAGGTTGTCTTTCACTAGAGAATTTTGCCCTCTGAAAGACATAAATCAGAGCTGAATAGCATTAACTAGTTGTGGTATATTGGAAGATGAGCCAGGGTAAGGGTTATGAAAATGGCCTTACAAAGAAGAAATTAGCCCTTTAACAGCTGTACTCTCTAAGCCTTTAAATTCCCCTTTGTCTGACTTAACAAATGTGTTCCCTTTAGTCACTTCCAGTCTTCAGTAGAAATTGTTGATATCTATCTGGACAAAAACTATCTGGACAAGAACTGCATGTGCCAGTTCCTTTTGTAATGTATAACTTGTAAGTGCAGGCCTTACTGCTGTGATCACCTCTCGGTTTTACGGCTCTGTTTGTTCAGCTCACTGACTGTTCTGCTTTTTGTGTATGACTGTGTTCCCTAGTGGAATACAGTGGAGAGCAGTGCTTGGTGTATCATCCAGCTCACTGCAACTGATGCACTGGGTGTGCTGAAGTAACCAAATACTTCACATTTAGCATTTTCTGTGCCAGGCACTGATTTATACGCTCTGCTCTCTGCATTGGGACTGGTTAGGTCAGTCAGCAGAAGATGGAGATTAATTAGGAAGAGCATGCTTTGACAGTTTGTTAATGGGAATTACACTATTAAAGTTGAAATTGATGAAAAAGTTTGGGTTCTTGCGCTGGTTCTTATTTCTTCTGACCTTCAAAGAAGAATTACAGTACGTAGAAATAATATAAGTGGATGAAACAGCTCCCAGTTCACAGCTGGTTTTGGGTTGTACTATTTGAACATCTAGGTAGAATTTTGGATTTGATAAGTATTTAAGCAAGTAAAATAGTTAACTTGCTATCCTGCATCTCTTAAAATTTAGGAAGGGGAACAGTAGTGCTACTCTTCCCAGACTCTTGTTTTTTCTGGTTACTTAAAGTACATTTTTCTCTCAATACCTTTCTCATAAAAAACCTCCTCTCAGAAAACTTGACTCTTTCACAGTAGTATAAACGAGTGTCTTAAGTCTCAGCCCCACATGTTCCATAATGTTAAATTCATAGATCACACAGTCTGGACTCTGCTGATGTGCTGTGTCTCCTTGGGTAAGTTATTTAACCTGTTTGCCATTACGAAACAGATACCTACCTACCTCACAGGGTTGTTGTGAGGCTGCTTTAGTGATTAAAGTGCTTTTGGCACCTGGCTAAAAAGTGCTACAGAAATGTGAAAATAAATCCAATTTAATACCCTATGATCCCATAGGCCCAGCTGTCTATTACTATTTCCTTTGTCACTTTGACTGTTTGAACCATCTTTTAGACACAGAAAGACCTGATAATGCTTTTCATGCTTATGAAAGAACATTTACTTCACCAGTGTCATAAATGCTTCAGTAATTCTGAAGCAAGCATTTAAAGTTGTCATTTTTTTCTCTGCTAGTTTTCTTTGAGAAGTCATCAGATTGAAAATCCTTTTAGGCACATTTATTAAACTGTATTCAGGTATCTGCAACATTTTTTTTAATGATCTAAGGAATTTTAAGTTCTAGTTATTCTGAGTGGAAACTTTCCTCTGTAACTGTCCTGAATGCTTCAGGCCAGTTCACACCACACCTTTTATCTTTTTTATTGAGTGTACAACATTATATCCTGGTCACTTTGAACCGTTGTTAGTAGGGGTTAAAAGGTTGCTATAATTAAAGACCTAAAAATCATATCCAGAAGACAGTTGTGACAAGTAGCCCAAGTCTAGAAACAATAAATACAAAGCTGGTAACGTGCATGTAAAAGGTTTGGCTGTTAAAATGTATTTTTTTGTCTTGCGAATTTTGCAAGTAAGACTCCTGTGTTATTGCTTGTCCTAACGAAATGCAACCAGATACATTTGTTTAGATAATTTTTCTTTCATATGGACACTTTGAATTTTAAATGTCTTGGTAACAAACCAGATGCTGTATGAGGATTCAAGGGGTGGGACCACAGCCTAGGATTGATTGTTTTGCATTTCATCATATGCAATACATCAGTATCTTTAATCCATGTAATTCACACTGGTGTGGATACTAGTCAGAATGTATCATTTAACGTACTTGTATATGAAAAATGTAAATAAAACCATTTAGAAAAATGATTGTTTTTGTTTAAAATGTCTGTGTTTCTTCAAAGCATTTCCTTCCCCTGTTTTACTTTAGTTGGTTGCGAATTCAGAAAAGAGAATGTTGTACATATCACCAAAATTACTCTGCTTGGGGAAAAATGGGAACAGACTTCTGTCAGGATGAAGTAATCAGAAGTCAAAGTAGAATAGACTTCTTGGCTGAGATTCTGTTTAGTGGCACTTTCAACTGAAACTATTGTGTGTATCACCAGCTGCTCTTAGTGAATTTCTTAACGGAAGGCATCCCCATGATAATCCATGCCCACCCCACTAGCCAGCCACATTTCTCATGGTAAGCTTCTGCTTTGAGAAACTGCTGTACAGGCGCTCTGTACAAATACCCATATTGCACAGTCTTGACTACCTCAGTCTGAGATTTTCAATCTTTTTTACAACTGTATTATTTATGATCTTTTCTTATTCATGTGTGGACTTGTTCCATTCCTGTTAATAAATGTTGTTCTGTCTGTGTGATTATTGTAGACTTGCACTAGAAAGTGAATGCACCTTCTTTTCCTGTCTCTTCTGCTCAAAATGTCAATACAGGTGTGTACATCTTGCATAGTTCCCCTGGTCCTACAAGCTGTGTAATATCAGAAAGTTGCCCACATACTGACATTTGTAGTTTGAGAAGATGTGTGCAGTACAACG